GGGCTCTCCCGGGAGCGGGAGAGGGCCCTGGATTACTACGGGCTGTACGACGAGCGCGGCCGCCCTTACAGCTACCCCATCGTGGCCGAGGAAGACCTGATGCCGGAGGACGACCAGAGAGCCACCCGCAACCTCTTCATCGGCAACCTGGACCACAACGTCTCGGAAGTGGAGCTGAGGCGTGCCTTCGAGAAGTACGGCATCATCGAAGAAGTGGTGATCAAGCGCCCTGCCCGTGGCCAGGGAGGGGCATACGCTTTCCTCAAGTTCCAAAACTTGGACATGGCGCATCGGGCCAAGGTCGCCATGTCGGGCCGCGTCGTCGGCAGGAACCCTATCAAAATTGGCTATGGGAAGGCCAACCCGACCACCAGGCTGTGGGTGGGAGGTCTCGGGCCGAGCACTTCCCTGGCCGCCCTGGCGAGGGAGTTCGACCGCTTCGGCAGCATCAGGACTATTGACTATGTGAAAGGAGACAGCTTCGCGTACATCCAGTACGAGAGCTTGGACGCTGCCCAGGCCGCCTGCGCGCAGATGAGAGGCTTCCCTCTGGGCGGACCGGAGAGGAGGCTCCGAGTAGATTTTGCCAAAGCAGAAGAGACGAGATACCCGCAGCAGTACCCGCCGGCACCGCTCCCCGTGCACTACGAACTGCTCGCCGACGGGTACGGCAGACACAGAAGCCTAGAGCAAGACTTGAGGGTGCGAGACAGGACTCCTCCGCACCTCCTGTACTCGGACAGGGACAGGACCTTTGTCGAGGCAGACTGGGCCAGCCCCGCCAAAAACACTGAACGCAGAAACAACTTGGAAAGCTACAGCCGATCGGTGCGGAGCCGGAGCGGAGAGCGCTGGGGCAGCGACAGCGACCGCAGCGTGCCCAAGCCGTGGGAAGAGAGACGGAAGCGCCGGAGCCTTTCCAGCGACCGCGGGAGGACCGCGCACTCGCCTTACGAGGACAGGAGCAGGACGAAGGCCAGTGGGCCAGCTCTAGACCGCAGCCCCGACAGGGCTCGCAAGGAGAATCACACTACAGAATCCGGCGCCGAGAAAGAGCAGAGTAACTCCCTTCAGAACAATCGTCACTCGACTGAGGAGAAAGCCCATCGCGAGGCATCCGACGCTCCCCAGCCTAAAAAAAGGGACAGCGAACGCAATCATCGAACTGGTGAATCGGAATCAAAAACTCACGAGGAGCAAAAATCTGAGACCAAAAAGCTAAAGAATTTATCAGAATATGCCCAGACGCTGCAACTCGCTTGGAACGGGCTTCTTGTGCTTAAAAACAGCTGCTTCCCCACCTCTATGCACATCCTGGAGGGAGACCTGGGCGTCATCAACGGACTCCTTAAAGACCATTCATCCGGCGGGAAGTTAACGCAGCTCAAAATCGCCCAGAGACTTCGGCTCGACCAGCCCAAGCTGGATGAAGTCACTCGCCGTATCAAACAAGGCAGCCCCAACGGCTACGCCGTGCTCCTGGCCACCCAGTCCGCCCCGGCAGGGGCCGAGGGGACCTTCCCTGCTGTGGAGCCCGGCTTGCAGCGACGGCTTCTCAGGAACCTGGTCTCCTACTTGAAACAGAAGCAGGCTGCTGGGGTTATCAGCCTGCCCGTGGGAGGGGCGAAGGGCAGAGACAGCACAGGCATGCTTTACGCGTTCCCTCCTTGTGAATTCTCTCAGCAGTACCTCCAGTCAGCACTAAGGACATTGGGGAAGTTAGAAGAAGAGCATATGGTGATAGTTATAGTCAAAGACACTGCCTAGCCCACACTGTCTTTTCAGATCCCATGTTTTCTTTGTGTGTCACACAACCCGGTTGTTTTTAAGGCTGATCATTTTGGTAGAGGCTCAAAACACCTCTACCAAAGTGGTAAGATTTTTTAGTTTCGACTTAATTTTAATACCATTTAAATAGAGCCCATTTTATTCGTTTTTAATATGTGACACTGTCCGCTGTTGTTCTGTATTTTTATTTTTTAACTGTATGAAAAGTTGTCAGTAAAGCCTTGTTCACTGATGGATTTCTAAACTTGTGCGGTATCCTAGTTTTTATGGCCCAGGAAGGGCTGGCTCCCTGTGCTGGCAGGAGCTGCGAGGTGATGGCTCCAGCCCGGTTCAGTTTCCCAGACCCCAGCCTCCTGCACCTCATCTGTCTCTTTATACATGTCCTGAAAGGTGGGAGGGAGAAGGGGGGTTCTTCTTTGTGCTCTGTGAGAGACTGAAAGGTTGCTTTTGAGTTTTGGTTTTGTTTGGTTTTGGTTTTTTGTCTTGTTTGCTTTTTATTTCATAAATTTGAGGCTGGATGAATTCCTACTGATTCTCTGAGGGTGGAAGCTTCCCAGGAAGTCAGCTATTAAGGAAACGGAACTTGATCAAGAATAGAAGTGGCTTTTACATGCAACAACAACAAAAAAAATTACAGTTAATACTCTGTGAAAAGTTTGCTACAAAGTAGTCAATGCAGTGTTCAAATCTGCCAGGGTTGAGAGCACTAGATAGGTGTCTCAGTCAGATAGAAGTTCTTGGGTGAAACAAAGCTGAGGCTGGACATTCCTGGTTTTATAAAAGGTGAAAAAAAAAAAAAAAAAAGTGGGAGGAAAAAAAGAAAATTAAGGGTGAAATCCTCTTGGGCCTGTATTAGATGTAGACAAGCAAATAAAGGGCACAAAGGGTGTTGGTGTCTGTTTGCATAGTCAATCATATTGCACTGTCTGAAATCCTTTATTGAAAGATAAATGACAAATTATTTTTTTTTTTTTGCTAAAGGTGAGGCTTGTTTGCAGGCTTACAAAAAAAGAAAAAAAGATAAACCTGTCTGGCTGTCTGAATACAGTTTGTTACCACAAGTAACTTGTCTGTGGAGGGAAGTCTGAAGATCCAAATTTGAACTTCAAGATGGGATGGGTCCATCACGTTTTCTGTCTGTGTTAGAGGCAGTTGTTCAGGAGAGCAGCCAGTTCCTCTGTGTGCTCAGCAACATACGGATGCGGTAAGGAGTTCAACGCTGGGTTGAAACCCACACTGCTCAGTTTGGGGATATTTTTATTTTTTAAAGTGATGCCTGTAGGTTTCAGTAGGCTTACAGAAATTTGTGTGGGATTAAAAACCACTAAAGTTTCTTTAAACTTGCAGGTTTGTTTTGGTGGTAAGCAAGTGAACAGGCTCCTGGGAGAAGCAGTCTCTTGCACCAGTCTGACAGCTCAGACTCACTTGCTGGCAGCTGCTAATGGCCCTTTTAAACCTGTGCTCTCAGGTATGATTGGTATCAAACTCTGTAGAGCAGGGAGCATAACTTAGTCTAATGATGCTTTTATTCCTTTTTTTATTTATTTTTTTTTTTTAAAGTTTTTTAACCCTGCAGTTTCACAGTAGGGAACATCATCAGCTGATGCTGTATGAGCAGTTGCTTAATTCTGTATTGATATCAACAAGTTTGGGTTGGCCTTTATTTTTAACGTTTAGTACTGTGAAGATAGATATTAAAAGTAAATCTAATGAGTTAGTGTGACCATAAGAGGGGTCAGATTTCACTTGCTGATGCATCTTCTGTACCCCAGAAAAATGTAATTCTGTCCGTAAGGGCCCGAGCAGAGCGCCGAGGCCAAGGGACGGGGGAACGGTGTCCGTGGTGTGTGGCTGCGCTTCAGTGAGAGGAGAGCTGGCTCTGCTGCAGGAGCCACGGGGTCCCCACCATGGTTCGCTGGACTGCCCCCCGCTTTTACGCGCTTACAGGGACAACTTTTAACCTCGTGACCCAGTCCCCAATGCTGTTGTAATGTAGAGTACCAAATGTCAACAATTGTAACCGCCGAGTGTGACCTGAAACCGAGTGCTATTAAATCCCCCTTATGGCCAGCCGTAGAGCCACTAGAGCTTTCTGTCAGCCTCCTCGGTGCCGGAGCTGTCCGGGCAGGCAGGCAGAGGCGGTGGGGCCGCGGCAAGTGCCTGTCTGGCTGCTGGCTGGCAGGGAGCTGCAGCCACTGCTGCTGTGGAGCAGCCCTGTGCGTCTGGTGTGCGTTGTGGCGTGCGAATGGGAGGCAGCGGAAGGGAAATAAAGTCAATACATGATAAAAGCTGCAACTGCTTGATGGCAAAGCCAGGGGACCACCAGAAAGCCCCTGTCTCCCTCTTTTCTTTTGAGCCAAGTTAATAATGTAGGGGACTGTGGTTGGCTTGGTTTTCTCAAGGGGTGGTTATGTTTTGGTTTGGGGGGGGGGAAGTTGTGGTTTGGTGTTTTGTTTTGGTTTTTTTAAGATAAACATTGTCCTGCTTCAGTTTAGATAAGTTTGTTGTTTGGGTTTGGGGTGTTTGTTTGTTTTTTTTTTTTTATTTTGAGTCATGGGACTGCTCAGTGATTTGGCTGATAGTTGTGAGCATGTGTGCATGAACAGGTCCAACACATCTCCCTCCTACAAACAAACAGATGTAAATGAAAAGTTGGAGAGTCTAAGGAAAAAACCAAACACACAAACACCTGGGAGAGCTGCAGCATCATCCCCCTCTGATCTGACAACTCGAGGCTTCCCAGCTCCCCATAGCTGCAGCAGAGACTGTGCTGAGGCTGAAGGCTCCCACCACCACCACCCAGTAGTCCTGCCCACCATCCCATGACCTCACACAGGCATGCAGGCTGGTTTCACGAGAAACTGGCCTGAAAAAGGGTAGATAGTTACATGAGAATAACACGACACATGTATCTTACAGCTTGCAAGACTTGGCCCTTGAATGAGGCTAGGATGCTGTTCTGGGTAGAAGACAGATGGTGAGGGGCCCACCACAGCACTAGTTGGGAGGCCTAAGACATTTGGTAATGTTGGAAGATGGTGGCTGTAAAGGTGCTGGGGGGGGGAGGAGTGGGTTAGGGCAGGGGTAGGGGGTGTCAGTACAGCAGTGGCAGTAATGCAATCACAACAGGGAAATAGTGTCTTGTCTCTGGTCTGAAACTGGAAGTGGGACCAGGGTGGGAGGTAACGCCTGGGGTGGGCTGAGGGTGTTAGGCTTTAGACTGCGTTGCTCCAATCATTACTTTTTTTTTAACCATTCTGTCTTACCTTGCCTCTTTTTAACATCATGTGACTGTCTCCTAGCAAAGTATGGCCAGGAGGGCCAGCCCGAGGCAGCCCCAGGCATGCAGCATGTGCAGATGGCCAGTGCTGATGAGCTGATCATCCCTTGATGACTACCCTTAGGTAATACACAGGTTAAACCGTTGACCAGCCCTGGAGTTTCTGCCCTGCTCTCCAAGCCATGCCCTACACTGAACCACGGTGCTGCAGGACACACCTCCCTGGGTGCTGGCGCAACGGTTACAGAGCCCGTGCTCCATGGAACTGCCCTGCAGTGTACTATCCGGGCCCAGCAGGTACTCGGGGGCTGGTCACAGAGGGGCCTGGGCACAGGCTGGTGTTGGGCTAGTCCCTGCTCACATCGTGGGAGGAAACGCAGCACCCTTCCTGCAAAGGCTCCCCTCTGTTGCAGAGAGGTAGGTATGGGTCTTAGCCAGCTGGCAGGATGTTTAACTGCCCCTGCCACCCCCAAAACAAGGTCTGTAATGGGTGGTAGGAGAAGAAATCCTGCATGGCATCGCTTCAGCAACATGCTCTGTGTATTCAGTAAGATTATAGGACTTTTTTTCCAAACATCATGCTGCTAAATAGATTAAATCATGATGCCAGGGGAAGAGGTGATTTTTCCAACACTAAGATTTCCCCCATCCCAATTAGTTATAAACAAATCCCGGTGTTTCACCCAGCCTGTTAATTCCCCAGCCCTCTCAAATGATGCCTCACAAGCCCAAAGTGGGGTGCATGGGGTGCAGGCAGCAGCCCCCCGGTGTGTATGTACCTTCAGAGGCTGAGAGCCCACCTGGAACAGGCAGAGGTGGCTACTCCCAGCAGGCTGTGGTGGTCGACCTGCACGCTGCAGCACCTGCCCACGGGCTCTATGGTTTGGCTACATGTGAGACAGGAGGGTTGGCACAGGTACTTACAGCAGCCCAGTTTCAGGTCAGGTTTATAAAGAGGAGCTCCATCCTAGGTGTTTTGGTTCTGTCTCACAATACTAGCTAGTAAATCTCTCCAAGATGGCCAAGCCCTGACCAGCAACAGATGCAGCAGGTTATAGCACAGACCAACACATGGACATGTGGCCCAGCAGCTCCCTCTCTTAGCAGTAGCTGAGTACATGCTGTTGACTGTCCCTCCTCCTGAGCAGCACATTTTCTAAGGTGAAGTTGCACATGCTGGTTTTGATAAAGCAGAGGCTGCTGTCCATGGCTGTTGGATGGCATATCTGATTTCCAGTTCTCTCATTTAATCAGAATGCTGCTCCAATTGCTGGTCTTGAATGCTCTAGTAATCGCAACTCATTTGTCTTTATCGATGCTGTAGGGTACAATTATCCATTATAAGGTGCAGCAGAACCTTTCTTTTTAATTATTAACAGGCAGCTCTGGGTAGGAGCATAATGGTGTGATGCTGGGTGGGAAAAAAGCTATCCCTTCTCTGGTCAAAATGAAAATCCTTTCTCTTCAAGCAATGAAACTTTGAGTCTTAGTTGAAGCAAGCACTGTTCTTGGTGGAAAGCTTGCTGTAGTGTCAAGGAGTGAGAACCCTCCAGCTCCCTGTGTTCTGCCTCAAACCCTATTCTGAAAGTGGCCAAAACAGAGAAAGGTTAAAAGCTGAGGGGGTGTTATCAGAATACGTGGGAATAAATGGCACATTTAGAGGCCTTGTCCAAGCAAGTACTGGGCATTTACTCTCCCGTTCTGACTCACAGTGTTGAGCTGTGTGTTTGTGTGCTGTGCAGTGAAGTCACTCAGCTGCCATTTTTTTCATCTCCTTCCAGGGGTAGGGCCTCTTATCATGTAAACAGGAGCACCTCCTTTCCCTTCTGCCAGCATAGCCAGAGGCAGCCTGCGTTAGACAACGCCAAACCACACCAGGACCAGGACGCTGCTATGCAGCAGCCAGGACGGGAGAGCTCCCTGCAGCCCAGCTGCTGCATCTTTACACAAACCACAGCTCCCCC